CCGGCCCTGGGTTGCCCCAGCCCCGGGGCTTGGTGGGCTTACCCCAGGGCCAGCCTTGACCGAGAACGAGATCAAGCAAAGAACAGTCACCGAAATCCTAACAGCGATCGTCGTCGTCTTCACGGCCGCCATCGCCCGATCCCTCCTCAGGATCGACTCCACCGTTCTTGAATCATCCCCTGCCGCCTCCGCCGAAGGCTCCGCCTCCCTCGACGCTGACTGCGACGCCGAAGGATCAACATGTGAGAACCACGTGACGACCGACGGTGGTGGGTAAGAACAGGAACAAGAAGAGGAGGCGGCATGTAAAATAGGGTAGCGGGAAATAGAGGAGGCGGGTAAAAGAGGAGGGAGAAAGAACTGAAGCGGTGATGGGAATGAGGGTAGTTAGGTTTTCGGAGGGTGATAAAGAAATGAGCTGGCGCTTGTTGTCAGAAATCAGCCCACATCCTAGCTGAAGAAGAGGGTTTTACAAATCCTAAAATAAATTAGTTTTTATGTTTTGGGATTCAATATCCTAATTTTTTTTAAACAAACAATGTTTATGGAATACCAAAACCCCCAAAAACCCTTTTTTACATCCCAAAACTTGAAATTCATCCTATAAAAAAAAGTGAAACAAACACCCCCTTACTTGATTATTTCAAAAATCTAGAAACGAGGACAAAAATGCTATTTAATAAATTTCTTCTCCTCCCTTTAAAAAGCATAAAAAATTTTAATTTTAATTTACTATTTCTCTCTCAAGAATCTCACTCTCCTTGTTCTCTCTAGGGTCGCTCTAAGAATTTGAATCAAATGAAGTCTGGATTTGGTCTTGTCCTGACCACATAAAGGAAGTGGAGAACTAGAGGGAAAAATAAAGAAACAATTCAATCATATTCAAAAAATATTTTTTAGTAGAAAAAAAGAATATTATTCACTTTGGTTCTCTAATAGGATGCTAAGAGTCATGGATACATGTAAGAAAACAAAGGGTAAATTTGTAAGTTGAAGCATATCTTTGTAAATACATAAACTTAAGGGTACATATGTAAAAAATTTTATATTGAAGTAGCCAACAAAAAGCCGGTCCTCTTTCCATGTGAGGTTCAGAAAGCTGTGCGGGGTTTTTACAGCTGCACGTGAGAGTGAGTGAAAGTTAATAGAAGATGTGGAGATGAGAGAGAGAGAGAGAGAGAGAGAGAGAGAGGAGTCCCTCCAATTTGTCCTCCTTTTGTACTGAAAAAAATACAGATGGTCGGTATCTCTCTCTCAATCGGATTTATGTTTTGAAAAAAACGAAAAAAACTAAACTAAGTTCGGCCCTTGGCTTCGCTGCGCAAGAGGGTTGTAACATTGTTAGCAGGATTTGGACAGACTTGTCCCCTTGCTCCTCTCTCTCCTCTTAATTTTCCCATCTTCAACTTCTCTCTCTCTCCCCCCTCATACCTACCGCAGGAATCACTTGCCCTCTTGATCTATTTCTCTCTCATTTTCCTTTCAAAAAATCTCCACCTCATCTAAATGGTCTTCTAAAAATAGAATGAATCAGGAATCAGATATCCCTGAATTTGTTGAAGTTGATCCCACAGGGAGATATGGCAGGGTACTCTCGAAACCATATAGCTTTGCCTCACTATTTTCGCTTCATGGGTCTCCTTTGATTTTGCCTAATTATGAGTCTTACCTGTGCAGTACAATGAAATCCTTGGCAAGGGTGCTTCAAAAATAGTGTAAGCTACCCCCCTTCCCCCTTTTGCCCATTTCACAATTTTTTTTTTTTTTTTTGTTTCTACTGAGATTTTACTTGATTCAATGATTTTTCTCATATGGGTCTTTTTAATTGTTTTTCAGGTATAGAGCCTTTGATGAGTATGAAGGGATTGAGGTTGCTTGGAACCAAGTGAAGCTTTATGATTTCTTACAGAGCCCTGAAGATCTTGAGAGGCTCTATTGTGAGATCCACCTCCTCAAGACTCTCAATCATAAGAACATCATGAAATTCTACACGTCTTGGGTTGACACATCAAAGAGAAATATCAATTTTGTCACTGAGATGTTCACCTCCGGCACTCTCAGACAGTAAGCAACCCCAACCCCCTCAGATTTTTGTTAAGTTTGTCGAGGAAATTTTGTTAATTTTTCCCGGTTAATAATAGGTATAGGCAGAAGCATAGGAGGGTCAATATTAGAGCAGTTAAGCACTGGTGCAGGCAAATCTTAAAGGGTCTTCTTTATCTCCATAGTCACGATCCACCTGTTATTCATAGAGATCTCAAGTGCGATAACATCTTCATAAATGGCAATCAAGGGGAGGTCAAGATCGGCGATCTTGGCCTCGCCGCAATTCTTCGCAAATCTCATGCTGTGCATTGTGTCGGTAAGCTCACAATCCTCATCATCTGATTCGAAGTTACAACCCGAATTAGATTATGCTTGGATAGATTTAGATGGGTATTGTTGAAATTGACAGGGACTCCTGAATTCATGGCTCCTGAGGTCTATGAAGAGGAATACAACGAATTAGTTGACATTTATTCTTTCGGGATGTGCGTGCTTGAAATGGTCACCTTTGAGTATCCTTATAGCGAATGCACACACCCGGCACAAATCTATAAGAAAGTTGTTTCAGTAAGATCCCTGGATTTCAAATTTCATGTCGAATTAGTTATACTTACACTATAAGCATATTGAGTCAAGTTACTTTCGATATCTAGGGGACTAAGCCCGATGCTTTGTACCGAGTTGAAGATCCTGAAGTGAGAGGATTTGTTGATAAATGCTTGGCTACAGTCTCAAGGCGACTCTCAGCGAGGGAGCTTTTAGAAGACCCTTTTCTTCAAATTGATGATCATGCTCCTGAGTGTAGCAAGGGAGATATTAGTGATATGGGAATTTTATTTAGGCAACCCTCTTTCGATCTCTTTAATTCTAGTGGCTTTGTTAATGGTTATGCTGATGAGATTCAGCATCAAAGTGAATCAGGGAATGAATGGGATTATGATGGTGTTGATATTTCTACTCATGGAATAGATCTCTTCAACAACCATGAGGATGAGCCAATTGCTAATGTAGATATAACAATCAAGGGGAGAAGGAAAGAAGAGGGTGGCATCTTTCTTCGACTTAGGATCTCAGATAAAGATGGTAATAAGCAAATGAAGATTTTTTTCCCGACTAGTATTTGGACTCCAATTGCTTATATAACCTTTTTTTTTTTTGGCAGGAAGAGTTAGAAATATTTACTTTCCTTTCGACATTGAGACTGATACTGCATTAAGTGTAGCAACCGAAATGGTAGCAGAATTGGATATAATAGATTATGATGTGACTAGAATAGCAGAAATGATCGATGATGAAGTATCTTCTTTAGTCCCAGAATGGGAGCCAGGGCCTGGTATAGCTGAAACTCCACGATTTGCTCCTGCAAATGATGGCTTATGTGGGCATTGCGCTTCAAACGTATCGTCTTGTGGTTCACTTCTCGATTTCATTTCAAAAGCTCAGGGCTTTGGTAACATTCAGTCAGTTAATTGTTCTAACCTTGAGTGTGCAGCAATGCACGGGCGATTTGAGGAGATTTCATATCAAATGGAGGGGTCCGAGGAGCAGTGTATGATGGAAGGAGCACCTGGACTATCTACTAGTCAATCTGATGAGCCTGATGTTTGCTCTCAAGCACACTCTGATGAAGATTTTGAAGGTCCAGATGATGAACATAGTCGAACTATAAAATCTATGGGAGATCTGGACACAAATTTGTCTGATGATTATGAGAATGAGATTCGTCAAGAGCTGAGATGGCTCAAGGCTAAGTATCAGATAGAACTAAGAGATCATAAAAATCGACAATTGGGAGGATCAAGAAGAGTTCGGCATCCCTCTCCAGACGTGCAAAATAGAGATTGTTCTTCTTCAGATACACGATTACAAGTGTTTGAAGAAAAACTGATGAGCGCTAATCGGAGCTTAGTTTTCTCGAGCTGCCCAAATCTGGAAGCCCAAAGGGATCAAGATTGTGAGGCGAATGTTGACGAGTGTCCCGAGCAATTCACAGCGAAGAATTTCTATGCAAATGGATCAATTCTACCAAACTGCCTCAATAGAACTAAGTCTCTTCCTGTTGATGCAGTTGATGTCTGATAACTTGGATATTTATGTAATTTGTTGTATTATTAGACTGTAGGTATCCCTTCATCGCATCAGATATGTAACATTCTGCTTTACGGAGAATGTGACTGTGTAAATTGAAGAGGCCAAACTAGTAAAGAGAGGCTTTTCATTTCTTTCAACATATTCCAATATCTTTTCTTGGTTTTCTTTTGGAAGATAGCACATATCTTTCATATGCTCTCTGCTGAATGGGTGATATTAGTGTAATATCAACGTCAACTTCTTACATCACCTTTTGTGCTTTTTGTTCTAGAATTTCTGAGACATGGTTTAGAGAATGATTGTCAATCTGTCATGCAATTAAATGTAGCCAGCTCGATTTGGAACACTCTGTTTTTGTAGCTGCATATGTTTCATTAAACTCTTAGGCTATGTTTGGTTTGAGAGTAAGGGAGAGAAAAGAAAAGGAAAGAGAAAGTAAAAAGAAAGGAAAAGAAAAAGAAAAGAAAATGATATTCGAGAGAAAAGAAAAGGAAAGAGAAAGTAAAAAGAAAGGAAAAGAAAAAGAAAAGAAAATGATATTCTTTCTATTGTTTGGTTAGAAAGAATAGTAAAAAGAAAGGAAAAGAAAAAGAAAAGAAAATGATATTCTTTCTATTGTTTGGTTAGAAAGAATATTATAATGAAAGTAGAAGAAAATTCATAAAAAGTCATTTTCTCTTGTTTGATTAGCTTTCTAAGAAAAAGAAGAAGAAAATTATCACAACATAATTTTAATTCATATTTTTTGAAATTAAATTTAGATATTAAACAATTTACCAAAAAATAATTAAATTAAATTGTGATTCTACGATATTTTAAAAAAAAATTTATAAGTTACCGAACATGTTTGCACAATCTTAACTCAAGACAATTTAGTCAAATTTACAATGACTAATTTGCATATAATCTTACATGGTTTTGGATTTGCAAATCATTCATAAACTCAAGTGAAGAAAGATGATTCCGAATAAAGTCTAGAAAATGATGCACAGCCACAATTTCGTATCAATATCATTCATATCATGGGAAGTAACAAGTTAATAAACATGTATTTTAAAAAAAAGGACACTTTCGTAACACAAAAACTTGAATGGCCATCAGCATCAAGTTCGTAAATAATAACAAGCAGAAGCACAACCACAATTCTACTAATTAGAGAACAATATTTCTCACACATAACATTTGCAGAAAGAAAGGTGAATGAAAAAACCCAAACAAATCTAAAGTAAATGTCATGATATTCCTAATAAAAAGTATAATCCATTTCTAGTCACAAGTTCTATTACAATCAATTTCATATAGAAAATCTTAGCCAACAAAGTATATGACAATCAATTTCATCTAGAAAATCTTCACCAACAAAGTCTATTACAATCAATTTCATACAGAAAATCTTAAACTTAGAGAGAGATAAATCTGCCGAAGTCTTTGATTTTTGACTTTAGTGAGCCCCTCAAAATATCAATCTCGCATCATTCTTCCTCTGAAATTAATTCAAAAAAATTCAAATAAGTATAATATAAACATCAAAAACCTATAAAATAAAGTCTTTAACATTCTTTTAGAAGAAAAATGAAACTACCATTTATCGTGTCATGGTTCTTTTCTTAAGACTAATCATCAGAAATGATGAAAGTGGCTTGTAGACAGCCAAAACATCAGAAATTAAGATGAGCATAACTTTGTTTCCGAAATTTGAAGTATCTTGCCCAAGGGGCGTAGAAATCAACTAAAAATAAAAGAAAATATTAGCTAATTTCCATCTGGGTCGAGGACTAAGATGAGCATTTCTTTTTTAGGACTTGATACCAATAACAGAACATAAGAGAAGTCATGAGTTGTGATTATATAATCCTGTAAGATTTGAAAGAGAAAGTACCATAATTTACTCGGGAAGGGCAGACACTTGTAAGTATCACTAGGAAATCCCAAAGATGCAGGAAATCTAATGTTATAAGCCACTAGAGACTACAAAAAAGGAGAGCAGTCTTAACAGGGAATTGAAGGCCAGGGAAAAGTTCCGCTGAAGAAAAAGAATGAAGAAATTATGAAAGGCAAAGTACAAAGCAGATTAATTAATTAACTGCAGCTTCATAAAAGAAAACATAACCAGAACATGAATCAGCTATAGCAAAAAAATAACTAAATCCCATATGTGAATACTAACGGATCAGTTACAAAGCAAATTATAGGATTAACAAATAATAAATTGAAGATTAATTTGTGTAAAAAAATATAATTTTAGAGCGAGTTCACCACAGAAAATGGGTATAATAATTTCAAGATGCACGTGATGTAATATAAGGGTTTGTATACTTACCAGGATTAGACTTAATTAATAATTGATGCACAACTTGAAGAAATAAAACTGAAACTGGACAAAAGATCACCTCAGATCTAGAATGCCATCTTCTTCCATTGAAACCATGCCTTCTACGTTGCGAAAATATTTTTTTAGGGGGTTATCTCCAACTAGATAAGATAGTCCTCACTTCCAGAGCTTTATCTGAGCATAAAAATGAATTCATCATATACCTGATCAGAAACCGTTTTATCGGCTTGGGGACCATAAGGTGCAGGTCTAGAGAGTAAAGCCTGCAGAGAGAGAAGAACATTCTGCAGAGTGACCGTAGGATTTCCACTGTTACCCTCAAATAAAAATTCTGCCCGGAAGAGAGCAAACAGCTCCACTTTGATACAGATATTTTGCGTGCCTCTTCAAAAAAAGAAAACCCATTCTTCATGTCAAAAAAAACCATGAGCAAAACATTTGATTAAAGCTATGACAAATTGAAAGGCGAAGATTCCGTCACAAAATAGAAGCTACCATAGGTTCACAATAGACCGGCAATGGAAAAAAGCTCCCTCTTTACAATGTTGTTTGCCTCCTAATTGAAAGGCAAAGTGCAAGAATATAGGATAGGCACCTCAGAAAAGATCACAAAGTTTCGCTTTAAATTTATAGCATCTCAGTTGGTATCTATTAGCTGTAGTGTCAAATCATGGATAAAAAAGGCATACATAAGATTTAATTGATCAAAGAAACAGGGAACTGTATATCGTCAATTTTTCAAGTTTCGGGTCAGTGTTAAAGGATCTGGTCCTTCAGGTTGAGGAACTCTTGTGCATATACATATGCAGGAATAAAGCATTACAAGACGGTTGAATAAAAATTACTAGAAGTATTGTTGATAAATAACAAAAAAGCTACAACCATCAGAAACCTGAATAATCTCAGTACACAGCGGTACCACTGATAATGGAACAAATACAACGACAACAAAACTTTTATCCAGCTCATCCATTCAGATTATCGTGACGGGCATGTGAATTATCAAATACAACAACAACAAATACAAAGGTCAAAAAACTCGATTTTATGGCATGCATCTGAGGGAGAACCCATTAAAACAGGAATCAGCTGTTATTCACAAATGCGACAGCACATTGAAGATGTAAGTTAAGAAATTGGGGAGCACGCATCGACAAAGGACCATCCAAACTTTTGTAGCTGAACTTCATCTGTGCGGCTCAAACAGGTAAGTTCCGGTGCACATTACCCAATACTGGATTACAAACGTGTTCTCCGTCATTTGTTCTAATACTCAATATAACTGGGGGAACTAACACTACACAAGACGAAAATCCACGTTGAAAAAAGCCTTTTGAATTAGTAAGCTAGAAGGAAAGAGTAGCCTGAGCTGTAATAACAATGCGAATGGTACGTCTCGGCGCTCGACATCGGCGTGAAAGCGAAAATCGACGAGACAGTCCACAGCGTAGACCCTTGATTTCGTCTTCGTGTCCCCTCGCCAGCGCCAAAGTCACCTCCCCTGTCGCTCAAATCAAAACCTTTGAATCTCGGTCAAAATCAAAAGAGGGGGAAATGAAGTCAACAGAAACACGAACAAAGCAGGGAGAGAGTAGTTAGTACTGGTGGAGATAGTAGAAGGGTCCGGGGATTCGGCGGGCGTCGCTGCTTCTTCTGGGACGATAAGATTCTGAGTTCCGGCTTCGGCCTCCCACGGCGGTCCTCGCTTGTGGGGCGAATGCCATCCCCACACCCTTGCGGTACCAGTCTCCCTGGGCGCGCCATCCTGCTGGGCCAAGCCACCGGTCCTCGTCGGTGTCTGCGTCCGCTCCCGATCTGACGATTCAGAGAAGAAAGAGTGAGGGGGTATGGAAGCGACTGGGATTTGAACTCACGCGCGTCGAAACCTACGGGTTTTGAAGACGAAGAGAAGGAACGAAGGTATGAGAGAGGAGGAGAGGGAGGGGGCGGACGACTGGGAAAGTAGTCGGAGTTTTGCGAGAGAGGAGGCATGAAGAGATCCGGGCGTAAGAGTCGGCGGCGTCATGGAGCTCCGCTCTTGTCTCTGGCACCCAGTCCGTCGATGTGTCCAACCCGAACTGGGGCCTCAAACGAAAAGAGCGCAAAATGGGGGGGAAGATGAGGAGAAGAGTTAGCTCTCTGTTTTTTCTAAGCTAAGCAGTGAGAGTTATGTTTCGTTATGTTCCTTTTTGTTTCGTTTCAAAGACCAAACACGCCCAGAACACCTCAACATTCTCTTCTATTTTCTGTCCTTCGCTCCTTTCTAGTCAACCAGCAAGAAGCACGAGCTAATAATGGCTTATTTTGCATCGTAAAATTTCCCTCTAACAGTTTCATGGAGACATTCCTCATACCAATGAACAAACATAAACCAAGGGAGTTTAATGAGAACTTGCACAATTTTTTTTAGACCGCGCAGTCGAGTCGAGGGACATGGCGCATCGACGCAATGTCGATCAGACACACTGATCCATCGCGAGGGAGGACTAAAGATGCTTTGGGCGAATGATCCAAAGGCATGTGCTTGCCAACTGAACGTAAGGTCATTCCATAAGCTCACTTAAAGCACAATGCTGGGTCAATGTCATAGACAGCCGACGCAACCCTACGCCACAGCGAAATAGAGAAGAGATATTTAGTATCAAATCTGACGGCTGACTTTTCTTCCTCGAAAGAACATTGCCACCAGCATATCAGCGGCGTCGGGGGACTGCTAACTTTCATAATTCAAGATGGGGACCGCATAAATACGTTTGCCCCAGCGCTACTATCGCTAAAAGAAATGAAAGATACCCTCGGGCTGCGCCTTTATTGGATTTATAAAATGTTTCCATTGATTTTGTGTGTGCCATGGATAATGCCCTGCCATGATGACACAAGGATAAAGACAGTCAACAATGGTCCTATTGACAAAGTTCTTTTTTTTACGTAAATAATAACAGGGTATATACAAAATTTGAGTTAAAGGTGTTCTGAGCCATACGAATACAAAAAGAGGGGAGAGTATTATAAGAGTTAATTCATTCTATGCGTGGCTCAGAACACACCTGCCCCAGCAAAATTTTTAAGGCTTAGAGAAAACAAGGTAGGTTGACAAATTATATCGAATCTAATGCTTTTGAGAGTGATGACAGAGGCATTTAATTATAGTTATTGAGAATCGTACCCTATACGGATGTTTAAAGTATTGTTGATATTAGCTCCAATAGTTGAACATTTGACATGTCCTCTAAATCTTACAACTATTTTAAATAGTTTAGATTCCTGGGGGAAAATGCAGTTGAAAATAACCTAATCTTTAATCCTGCATCACCGAAAAAGCTACTAAACC